TGTATGTATGTATGTATGTATGTATGTATGTATGTATGTATGTATGTATGTATGTGTGTGTGTATGTCTGTATGTATGTATGTATGTATGTATGTATGTATGTATGTATGCATGTATGCATGTCTGTATGTATGCATGTATGTGTATGTATGTGTGCGTGTGTGTGTGTGTGTATGTATGCATGCATGCATGTAGACTTCTGTATTGTAGAGCGAGAGAGAAATATATCCGTGCCCGATGAAGGTGCAAGTGCTTCCTTTAGAGCTTCAGCGCAAGCTCTCAGCCAGTGTGAGGAAGCCGTTCGCTGAGCACCGAGCGCTTGCTGATTGTGTCGTGATGCGTAAATGGCAGATGGGAGGGGTCCTGATGCGCAACTCTCAAAGTTCAATGGTTGTGGGACAGTAGTGATGTAATGGTTGTTTACCCGTCGCAGGACATCACTACTAGCTGATGTAGCCAATGCTCGGATACGCAAGAATTCAAACTTCCTGGGTCCTAGCTTCTGCTCTGCCTGTGATTTCGATATCCTTCCGAGGCCTTCTGTATCTTACTCGAGTTCAATCATGCAATGAATCATTTAAGTTGACAAAATTCGAGACACTACCTCGCACAGTCTTGAAATCAGCGGGTATCGTTGTGATATTATGTGCTATCAGCGTAACCAGAATATTGACACAGCTTGCGAGACGTTGTCAGATGGCTGAGGCGCGGGCCAACACGTTCTCCATCACCGTGGGCAAATCCATGGGGAGATCGCGTGAGTAGTCAACGTACTTCACGCCCGTTGTTTCGAAAATCTCCTGATTGCGTGGGTGGTGTCAGCACAAGCCAAGTGCTACGTGAAACACGGAGAATCTAGACGACAATTTCAAATTCACTTCCTCCCCGAAAGACTACTGCAGTCACACCGAACAAAAGCACTTGGAAAGCAAATGAATTGCCACATCGAAAAGGTCTGTGCTTCGCCTTCCCCCGCCTCGCAAGCCACAGCATCCAAGGCAGCTGCATCCGGCGGCTCTGTAGAGCCGAAGACTGGTGCCTTGGCTAACAGGTCGGCCGGTTGTCCATTGAACCACCCACTACATGCTGTCGCCAGAGTACAGCCCAAGCGAACAGCAAGCCGTGACGTTCCTCTGCAGGTAGCACAGTCGTACAAGCCTTGGGCGCGAGCAAAGGCTGCGGGCAGAGACACTGTGTCACTATGCATGATCTGCGCAACATTCCACAAGCCTCGCTGCAGTCTCTCGCAACCCCTTCTGAAACACTGTTCCCCTGTGCAACAGTGACCTCGTACGATGTGATGCACTCAGCTTGCTGACGCGTGAGCATTCGTCTGCGTAACCCTACTCGAGATGCCAGCGGGCCCGCGATGACTCTCGTATGCGATCGGCTTCAGATTCTGCTTGCGGAATGCGCGAGCAGCGGCCAGTCTCACCTGGAGAGCAGGGGCACCAAGACAGGTGTGTCTGGCAGTCCTCGAGTCTCCATCTCCACAGGCCAGGCCGCCAGGCCTTCGAATGACCAACCGTGGTAAGGGCATTCGATGTCGCCGTTCTGTCGGATCCGCCCCTCGGATAGCCGGGCTGCACCTTATTACGGATGCAGCTGGCCATGAGGCTTTCGTTTCGGGAGTTGTGGTAAGTCAACGATCTGGATTCCAAGACATCCTGGTCCACGTGTCTCCGCGACAAGACGAAGAATTTTTAAGCCCCGTAAAGTCTTTTCCCGTCCACTGCTGTCTAGCATCGATGAGGGCACTCATCCAAGGCCGCGAACCAACGATCTCCGTTGTGCCAGAATACAACACTGGCCCCACACACATCGATGCAGTGAGGCCTGGACCTGGACAGGCAATGCAAGTTTTGTGTCAGCATCGCCACCATGTACGCTGCAATGAGGCCGTGAGAACGGGTGGTTCACAGGTCACGCGTACAATAACTCTAGACACACTATCGTCGCTTGATCTGAGGCTCTGGCTTGTCCGTGGTGCCCGTAAAGCACAATGGATACCAGGCATGAGCATAGATGGCCGTGGTACCATCAATTGCGGTAGCTGCATGAGCCTTCGGACATGGGCAGGACATGGTGGCAGCATCTGGGCCGTGAAACTGTTCTTGAGTTTCCATTCACACATGCTTGTGCCTTCAAGGTTCGCAAGAAGGAGCCATGTCGCCGTCGGATGCCAAGCCTGGGATGACAGGCGCTAGAGCCGCTAGGGTCTCGAGCTTCGAGAGACCTGCGGAACGCTCGAGGGATCCCCAGGGTGTCATGTTAAAACGAGAGACTTTTGCACCAGCAGGCTGGCAAAAACAAGCCTGCCGAACGCCCGCTGGCTGCCGTGAGCCACTTTGTGCATCACCTGTCTAGTGCCACTGCGTATCTTTGCTTACGGTGAGTCATGAATGGACGGCTTGTACCACAAGTGGCTCCAAGTGTTGCATGGTCATCCCCAAGGGTCCTTGGACAGCGCGGGCGCATGCTGGCAAGGGCTCCAAGGGCATATGCCGGCCCGCTGTGAAGACACGAAGCCGTGCGAGAGGCAAGCCATCAACGCAGGCTCGTCTGCGTGTGTATTGCATTGGTCCGCTTCTATACAGACTTACACGACTGGCACACGGATCGGACAAGTGTACCTGTTCGGCTGTTGGTCTAGACAGGTGTCTTTACATGCAAAGGGCCCGTCTTGGATTTCGAAGTCTGCCTCAGCTCGGAAGGACTCTCCCGATTCGCAGCGATCAGCTTCGAGCCCACAGGTGGGTACTGTTGATGGTGTTTAATTAGCCACACACACTCTCTCTCTCGCTCTCGCTCTCTCTCTCTCTCTCTCTGTCTCTCTCGCTCTCTCTTTCTTTCTTTCGCCAGGGTTGTGGCGAAAGGGGAAATCCCCCTACGCTCTCTCTCTTTCTTTCGCCAGGGCTAGGGTGTAGGGGTGTGACCCCCTACACCGCGCGCGTCAAGCGCCCCCGACAGTTGCGGGTGGCAGAGGAGAGACGTGCGCACACCACCGAGGCAGATATCCCTCGAAACGGCGAACAAACAAGAAAACCAAATCAAACATGCAATCTGCCTCAGATATGCACGTTTGGAAAAGACAGCGCTCAGGGTCGAAACTATATGGCAGGTGACTGAAAGAGGAAACAATTCTGAAAGGTGCCGAAAAGACATTAGGAAGACTCAGCGGCCCGTCTTGTTGATTTGAACAGTCTGGTACAGCGGAGAGTTCCCCGAGAAATGGATTGAAATGCCTCGTGCGGAGGCCTGCACGCTCTCTCTCTCTCTCTCTCTCTCTCCCAGGACGGAAGAAGAGGCAAGCGTGGGCTCACCCCCGCGGGTGCGGACGCGCACGTGCGGTCCTTTCTCTTTCTTTCGCTTTCGCCAGGGCTAGAGTGAGAGGGTAGGCCCCAGGTGCTCTCCCTCTTCTTCCACAGGGGCAAAGGAGCTGGTCATGGCCAGTGGGCCCCCCATTGTTTGTTGGGCACACGGACCACGTGTGAAAAGGTGCAGGCGGTTGTCCGCCCACGTACCACAGATCACGTACCTAGTACCTCTCTCTCCCTCTCTCGCGCTCTCTCTCTCTCAGACTCAGAGGTCTGTCAGCCGCGCTTTCGTCCAGCACGAGATCAGAGACCGAAAGAAGAACTGCATGGACCACAAGATACAGCTACAGCTACAGTGGCAGCAGCTACAGCCTAAACGTCAGTGATTCGATCTAACCATTCCTGAGGAACCAACTCCAGCAGCAAACACTTTCTGAAACTATCTAACTCTGAATGGACCGTTCAATACCGCATCGTACAGCTGCGCGGGGCTCCGGCCAAGGCTTGTTGAGAGTCGCTCTTATCACCTGACATGACATCACTCGAGTACAACGGCTACTGAATCCTGACACTCCTTCGCAGGCAGCCTTTCTTGTAGACCCAGAGTCGTCGCCTATGCCAGGATTTACAAGTGGCCGGGCAGTACCGCTGTAAAGTCACAAATATTATGGCAGCTATGCTCAGCTAGCCGCTTGCCATTGATCTGCAGCTTCTTCCTTGCCTTCTTGCTGCCGGAATGAACGGAAGTGCAGGGAAGTGCATGGGGTCCAGTCGGACAGCGCTCTGTCGTGATGAGCACCCCCGCGCGTCCCGCCCTGCCGAGTTCTGAGAACCCAACCATCTCGAGGAACTCCTGCAGCTCTTTTCAAGCAGGGGATCTGGGACTGGGACTTGGGAAGACGCACGACCGCTCCTCGAGGGCATCTGCTGAGCCCCTGCGGATCAGTTCAGGGCCTTTGTTCTTCTCGCTGGGCTTCCTCTCCTGAGATGGCGATTTGGAGGGAGCTGACACAAATCTACAGGGGCTTGAAGTCCGCCAAAGTTCGTGAGCTCAACACCCGTTCACAAACGATGACGACTGCTCGCACCGAGAGAACAGTGCCATGCTGTGAGGAGGACACAACTCATGACTTGACGGCAAACCCCGACGCCTGCTATCCTCCACTAGGTGAGCCTCTTCGTGCGGACTCGGCGGGAAAAACGCGTGCAGCTACGGTACCGACGTCACTACCCAATACGACTCACATGGAGCCGATGGGTGACCCAACCAAACAAGAGAAGAGCGAACCGAAACAAAACATAATGCTGCGTGAACGCAGTGAGGCGTGATTAAATCGTGTATTGTGTAGGACTTGACTACGTTGCTTCACAAAAGTGTCATCGACATCGTTTTGAATGGCAGTTTGTTGGAATCCTATGTTCAGTTTGATCTGTCTAGCCATTTTCCTGTCCTGTGCCAGTCACGAAGGGTCCAGCGTGCTGTGTTAAAACACCGGAAAGTGCCACTTCAGGAAAGGCTCGTCGCGGTAGAAGACTCGGACCTGTCAGCCGAGTCCAGCTCAGACACTCGCACATGACCTGTGATTGCTTCATTGTCGTTTTCTTCGATGTCAAACTCTGCTAAACAGGCCTGCACATGGGAGGAGTCGGGCTTCGAACCTTTCGATTTGCCTAAACCGGCCGCAAGGCAGGGGAACGATCCAATCTGCCAAGGAAATGTCTTGCTTGGCCCCTGGCCGTTGGCGTCCTCGGCTTCACCAGTGGCCCGAGCCTGAACCACATTCCGCGGTTGCTGAGCAAGAACTGAGACTCTAGACGTGCCTCGCGCTTGTCTTCTTCCAGCAACTGCTTCATGAGGCTCTTCTTTAGTCCTTGGTTCGCATTCTCGAGTCGCCTGCACAATTCTGGCCTGGCCCTAGGCACAAAAGAACGCTACAGCGACAGCACTTAAGAAAACATTGGATTAAGAAAATGAGACTCTGGATTTGGGGATTGAGTGGGTTCTATATAAAATGCACAGTGCTCTTAAAATAAGAAAACCAGGGTACCCTCGTCCAAGAGTCTCATTTTCTTATTTCGCTCTGTAATACTATTGTGCGTAAGCATGGTCTGTGCTGTGCGAGGGGTTCCGTACTTTCCAGAAAATACAGCGCTCCCGCTGTACCAAGCGCAGCACCTGAGCTCCCTGCGGATCTGCTCCTTGCGCTTCTGCCGGTTGGAAACTCCAGATTCCTGCGGCGCGTGCACGGTCTCCAGGCAAGGCTCTGCCAACGACTCCTGCCCTCGATGCTCCGAGCTACCTCTGATGCTGCCGCAAGAAGCCACCACCCATGCCATTGCAGTTGTTGTGCTCCAAACACAATGCACATGAGGAGAAAAAACGTAGATTTACGAAGTGCCAGAAATTGACTGATTTTGCCGACTGGCGAAAGTCAGGCCTCTTCTTCGGACGACGCACTGTCCCTTTCAACTTCGCTCACGGGCTTTTTCTCGCCTGTCACAAGCCCGCACACGACAAATCGAGCCGCGACAAAACCATGCATGAACACAAGCACAAGACAAGTAATGTGGTACGTTGATGTGCTGGTCAGTCTGCTGCTCCCAATCATCTAAGATTGCACGCCCAACTACATACCCCTTGGCCAATACTACTACGTAGTATTTCTTCCTATGCCATGGGCTTCCTGCGTGGACGGGCTCCCCCAGAGAGAAAGAGAACAACACTTGTTGGCATGGAGAGGGCCAACTACTCAATAGACCCCACTTGCAACTCATGAAGGGAGTCGTGGCCCTTCCCGCCGAAAGGAAGCTGCTGCAGGTTTGAGCTCCGGATCCCTCGAGCAACGCATCCCAACCCCGGCTCCGGCCTGTGCTTCGGCGAAGTTGAGCTATCCTTTGCAACAGAAACTGCCTCCTCCCGATACACTTTGTGGCGACTGATGCTGCCGAGAAGCAAAGCCAAGATCTCATCACGGCTTTCTTCGCCCAAGGGCACCTTTCGACGAGGTTTGACATTCAGCCGTTCTGCAAGGCAAACAGGCTGCACAAAGATGACGACAAATTGAGACCAGCTAAGATGCAGGTCGAAATCGGGACATGCGATCGACCGACACAGAAACGCAAATCGGCAGGAAAAGCTAAGGCAGCAAGCAATGCAATTTCGACACTTCGTGCATTGCTGAGCAAGTACTTGAGCGAGTCACCAAGCACGGTATTGACAAGTAAATTCTCACGCCTGCCTATGCGGCATGCGGCATACCGAACAACCTTAAGCTGATTAATTCGTGTCGGTGTTGCTTCGGCCAAAGTCCAAGATATTCAGTGGGCGAGCAAACGAAGACATTGAACAATGAAGGCACGGCACCGCACCTCATGATCCAGTGTGTGAAGTTGCACAAACAACTTTCAACAGACACAAGCCCGTGGATACCGAACATGCCCTTGTCGAGCCCTGAACCGACTGCAAACTGCACAAGTGCCTCTGTCTATGTTCCATGAATCGGACCGACCTTGCTGGGCTTCAGCTCAAAGTGCTCTTCAACGGAAGACGTGCCTCTTGCGAATGGAGCCCCAAACATCCGACAGGTGCTCAGAACTCTCGGTGGAAGACGGAAGTCTTGGGAAGCTTCGGGCTACCCATTCCCTCTGCACGGCAGCTTTTCGAGAATCGTGATCGAGGAGGTCATCGCGATTTAGAGCTTGCAGTCTGTCTTCTGCGCCGCATTTACGATGACATTTTTTGTTCCATACAACCTCCTGCTTGTAAACAGTGCTAGTCTGCTAGTAGCCATATCATCATTACGAACTTTCCCTCTATCATCATTACGAATGACATGCATGGTCCTTGGACGACCCGGATTAAGTCGTCTACGAGTTCACCACAGGTCTGTTTGTCTGTCATTAACACTCATGCCCAATCTGGTTGGTGAACCTGGTAGTACATGGACAGCATGTCATTAGCAAAAGACTTCCCCACCTTGCCGGCAAAGCAAGCCACCGAAAGCCCTGTAACATGGTCGACAGCATCCATTGGCATGACATTGTCGGCAGCATGGCCGGATTGCTGCAAAATCGTCTTCGCCGTCGTTGCGATGGCGAGGACTGTTACTACTGTTGCCGCTAAACCACCGCTACGACTACTGCTGCTGTGACTGCTGCCGCTCCTGCTCCTGATCCTGCTCCTGTCGCTTCTGCTGCTGCTGCGGTTGCTGCTGGTCCCGCTGCTGCGACTACTTACTACCAGCCAGCACCACCACCACCACCACCACCACCACGACTACTACGACTACTACTACTACTACTACTACTACTACTGCTACTACGACGACTACAACTACGACTACAACTACGACTACGACCACGACGATTACGACGACGACTGCTACTGCTACTGCTACTCCTACGCCTACTCCTACTCCTACTCCTGCTCCTACTACTGCTACTACTACTACTACTACTACTACTGCTACGACTACTACTACGACTACGACTACGACTACGACTACGACTACTACTACTACTACTACTACTACTACTACTTCTACTACTAAGACTACTACTACTACTACTACTACTACTACTACTACTACTGCCACTACTGCTCTGCTGCTCTGCTGCTCTACTGCTACTCCTGCCACTACTCCTGCTGCTGCTTCTCGACAAGTGCTAGTGCAGCGACAACAGCTAGCCGCTACTGCAACAGCTGTCAATCAGTCTCACGTGAAGTTCTGGGCATTAGATACATTCTTCTCATTTCTGCACCAACACCTTTCACCAATGTGTTACCCCGCCTGGCCTTTGCCAGCGCGAGCCTTCTCGTAGCTCTTTCCCTTTTGGGCAGCTTTGCCACGTCCTTTCGATGCCATGCCCGGGCCAGCTTTGCAGCCCTGCAGGTGTAATGCCGCAACGCGGCAGCCTGTTGTATGTGATTCGGTGCTGGGGCGCTGGAATTGAGGGGAGGAGCATGACCAAGGCTCAAACTAGTTGCAGGCTTCTTTGGACCATTTGTTGAGCCGTCTCAGTGCTGTCGCAACAGATGTATTGGCCGGTCTCGTGCACATGTACACACTTTTCGTGAAAGGGTCATGCTCAAAAGGTGCGCTGGTGTGGTTGTTGCTGCTGAGTAAGGCTCTCTCCGCTGCATCTGGTTAGCTCGCTTGAAAAACTATACCTACCTACAAACATGTGTCTGTATGTCTGTCTGCCCGTGTCTGTCTGTGTGTGTATGTCGATCTATCTATCTATCTATCTATCTATCTATCTATCTATCATCATCTGCCGTGTTTATCTGGATATACAGCTCAGGTCTTCTGTGTGCATGTGCCGCAGCAGTGAGGCTCAAAGGCTCCGACGTCAAGACTCTGCAGTCAAAGTCTGCCTTCATCTGCCTATGAGGAACAAGTCAAGAAAAACCCTTTTCTGAAGCAAAATCACTGCTGCCCCAGCCCAAGAAAGTGAGTCCGGCCGGATTCACGCGCTCACAGATGGCTCTGACTTTTTGATGTCCGTGCTGCCCACCTCCTGCCAACCAGGCTAGTTCAGAGTGAAACTCTTCAAGGCCAAGCCAAGGATTCTGAAATCAAGCCTGGTGAAGGGAAGTGGAGGGGGTCGTGCAGGAATGCCCTGAATTCACTGTGCAAGGAGTCTCGTCTCCAAAGCTATTGGTCTCCTCTGCCCGGATGGTTATGACTCCCCTTGCTGTTGCTGTTGCGAATGACAAGGAACTTGGAGAAGGAGCATCGCAAGCTGGCGTTGGAACAGATTTATCCGATCAGCGTCTGCATCTCCGAGTACAGTACACGAGGCGAATCACCTTAAGAGGACCTAGATTCTGCAACTGTTCCAAGCGATTCGAAGTGCATCTGTGGCCTTAGGCCACATTGTCCACAGAACTTCTACGGGCAAAGGCATTCCGAATTTCAAACGTATTCCTGTGCAGATCTCAACCTTGCAACACAATGCCTTTTTTCAAGCAACGAGCACAGCACCGCTCACACCGCAGTTGATACGATCTGCACTGAAAACTCGGAGCCCACCGCGGGTCTGAGTTGACAGCATTAGCTTCTTGAAAGTGGTGTGCCGAGCTTTCCTCTCAGAGATCCTCCTCCTCGAGAGACTCCGAGTCAGAGACTGAGGTCCGCTGCCTTGGATAATCTGAGGTTGCTTCGCTCCTAACGGCCACTGAGCCGCGGCACGATGTCGGAAAAAGGGAGTTGTTGGAGGACGACCGCGCGAGCTGCGCAGTGGGCGACTGGGCCTTGCGAGCGCAAACAATCAAGCCGACCTAGTACTGCTGCTTTTCTTCTTGTGCTACCAGGCCACAACCCAAACAAACGTGAGAACACTGTGAAAACACTCCGCAACAAAGCCGGCGCCCTTTGTGCAGGCATGGAGAATGCCAAACTGGGAAGCGTGCTGGCGACGAGTTCTGCTGCAGCAGCCTTAAAGGCACTGCCGGTCCGAGCCCAGGCCCAGGCCTCCCTCCACTCGAACACAAAAAGAAAGCCATGCAAGATCTCTTTGATCATCCGGCCCGGCGGAATTTCTGGGCTCTAGCACAGGCGAAGGATGGTGCATGTGTTTGATTCCTGATAGGAGGGCATCCTAGCATCGGGTTAAGCTCTACCCATATGTCTCAGCGACACCGAACAATTGGAGCAAGGTGACACTGGCGATTGCGGCAGTTTGGGCGTCTTCGGTGTGCAAGGGAGCTCCAGTGGCTCCGGGGGCGGCTGAAACCGCCGTTCAGCACCTCAGGTCACATGCTGAAAGAGAGTTCAGCCCAGTCACGGTGTCCTGAAGACTCTCGTCAGGGCAGCCCAAGTTGCGCGTGTCAGCGGTTTGCACAACGCTTTGGCGCAAACCCAGTGCCTGCACAGCTTCTCAGGAAGCTGGATGATGGCTCGGCTTGTGCGGCTGACTAGAATCACTCAGCGACGCTGGCATGCCCACGGCTCTTTCGCAAATGCGGCCTCAAGCACCGCGAGAACGCCCTCACGGTCTGGAGCCATCGGTGCCAAACACACCTCGGGTGAGCATTAGCGGAATGCATGCACGCCATGGAACATGTACATCGAAAGTGCTAAAAGCTTTGAGAGTCTCAGCTGTCTTTCCTTCGCCTGTGAGTGCTAGAGGTGGCACATGAGACGAACTGCCTCGCGCACTTCTTCGCTTGAGATCCCGAGCTGCGATCATGGTTGCGGTGCAGCCCGGTCCAAAGCAGTCTTGCAGCAAGGCTGCCAGCACCTGCTTCATGGTCACGCGGATGCATGCGTGCTGACGAGTCGCAGATCAGCGAGAAGGCTTCGACAGAAAAGCATTTTTCTCGCCTGGCTGCCAGGTCCATCAGCACAGGAAGCACCCTTGGCCGAGAACGACCTGGCGTCGAAAGCGAAGTAAGGCATGCTCAGAACGCAAATCTACACATCCTGCACCGAAAAACGGCAGCTGAGCCGAGGCGCCAGTTCGAGCTGCTCACCCCCAGACTCCGCGGACCTTGCCGGGCCTGAAACCGAACGCCAGTTCAGCGCCCCCCGAAGCGGGTATGTATAGTTCCCCAGATAGCTTGCATGGCTGAAGGGGCGAATGTCCCCTCACACCAGGTGCCGGGCCGAACATGCGACGGCCCAGCTCAGTGCCCGGTCCGCAGCCGGTGACGACACCTTTCTCGATGGAAAATCAAACACACCAGGAACGATACCATGGTGTTCAGTGTGTTAACTTATTGGCAGTCGGTGTTGATGTACGCATGTATTTATACCTTCCCCTGCGGGCTCAGATGACCCAAAAGCGGGAAAGCTAGGAGCCCCAGTACCGCGTGCAATGGCCACAAGTTGGAATGCGGTACGTCATAGATTCAGCCGGAGCCCAGAGGGCAGCCAACTACCAAGCAGCC